AACTACCAAGGGAATTGTTTTTTCATTCAATAAACCTACCCTCATCAGTTTAATCAATATTTATTGAGGCTCTGTGCCCAGTACTGGCAATACAACAGGCAGATGAGACCTTTTTCCTATCCCCAGAGAATCCCCTAGCCTGATGTACAAATCAGATGACATAAAAAGTTCAATTGCAAGAATCTCTTCTCAGGAGGGGAGGGGCAATGGAAGGGAAATCACTAAAGGCTCATGAAAGAGGGGTTGCTGGATCTGACACTTGAAGGATGAGTAGGTGTGCTCCAGGCAGAGAAGTAGGGGGTGAGGGATGGCCCCCAACATAGTGGATGGTGCATGCAAAGGAACAGAGGCACAGAAATGCAAGAGTGTGTCTGAGGAGTAAGGGAGGGTTGCTATAGGAGAAGCAGACAGAGGACAATGGGAGGTGTCTAAAGTAGTCATCTGGGACTCAGGAACCATGGTAAGGAATCTGGATTTGATGCTGAAGGCACAGGGGAGCCAAAGAAGGGTAGAGGAATTGAGAAAGCTCTTTAAAAATACAGGGGGTGGGTAAATGGGAGGGAGATGCAGGAGAAGAGGCAGGGAAACTGGTGGGAGGAGTTGGGATTGATGGATGGGAGAAGGCAGTACGTACGTGTGCCTGTTAACAAGATGACACTAACTAAAAGGGTAAGATAGTTGAGACAGAGAAAAGGCAGCCTCCCCCAGGAAGTTCTCCCAGGGTAGCTCTTGAACCCTTAGGCTCTCCCAGGAGAGAAAGTGCCAGCTCCCTAATTAGCCCTTGTTCTTGACCTCTTGGACTCTCAGAAGGGTTATAAGATCAATCATCTCATACTTGCCCTGCCAGCTAGAAGGCTAGGATAGGCTCTCCAGGCTGAAGATTTATGACCTGTTCCAGTGAGAAGACACACCTGCGGCTGTGGGAAATTCAGGTTCCATGTGGTTCCCTGGACAACATAGTCTATTGACTAGGAGTGGGGCCTCATGCAGCACCGGTTTTGAGCCCCAGTTCCCCTACTCATTCTATGACCCTGGGCAACATTGTTTCACCTCTCTATGCCTCGGTTTCCTCATCTGTAAAATGGGGATACCTCCCAGGATGTTGTGAAGCTCACATCATATGAAACACACAGTAGGATGTCAGTGTGAATGGTGGCTGGAGTTTGCCAGCAGTCAGGCCTGCACCCTCCTAATTGAAGGAGTAAGAACCATGGGGAGGAGCCAGGAATCAGGGCCTACGTTCAAGTCTCAGCAGAGTTGCTTGGGCCCTAGAGACCAGTTCTGACCAGCCCCATCAGGTGGTATATGAGAGCCCTCATACCCCAGTGGGAGGAGGGGCTGAAATAGACCCACCTCCAACACTTCCCAGGAGCTATCCAGAGAATCTTACCCCTCACCCCACCCCACCATGTTTCTTCTATTAATAACAACTGCCTTCTCCTTTAGCTTGCAACTCTGCCAAATAGGTATTATTGTCCCCATTTTGCAGATGAGAAAACTGGGATTCAGGGAGGCTGGATCATTTTCCCAAGGTCACATAGCCGGTAAATGAAGGAGCAGGAATTTGAATCCAGGTCTGTCTGGCCACAAAGTCCCAACCCAAGGTTGGATTGGCTGAGAGAGTTTGGGGCCTTGGTAGGCATGGAGATGGACCCACAGATGGTGGAGGAGCAACGTGAGACAAAACAGGTCTGGAACACATTCTGTGTCCAGGCACACCTTCTGTGGCCTCTCAAGGCCATGGTCCTAGGAGACCCTGAGCTGCGTGCCTCACGTTTGGGTAACTTGAGGCAGGGACAGAGGGAAGAGTCTAGAGCTTGAGTGAGACAGATCTGGTTTCTAACCTTGCCTCTTGTCCTCACTGGCTCTGTAACTCCCTGTAAGTCATTTGAAGTCTGCAGGCCTCAATTTTCTCTCCTGTAAAACTGGAAGCAGCCCAGTTTCTCCAAGGGTGAAACTTGTGGAGGTCAGACAAGGGAGGGATGTGAGCAGCCTTTGGAAATAGATTGTCCCCTAAGGGGCCCTGTCAGCATCTCTTTGTAACAGCAGCTGACCCAAGAGCTGCCCTGAAATCCCTGCCCAAGTGTCAGAAGACCCTAGCTGGGCAAGGTGAGGGCAGATGTAACCCTCAATCTTGCTTCTCCTCAATAGGGGAAGCAATGGAGAGCCCACAGCTTACAGAGAAGACACAGCTGGCCTCTGAGTGCGTCTGTTTCTGCTTCCATCAGACCTGTGTGGACCTACCTCATCTGTCTCCCTTATGCAGATTGCCGACCCCCATCCCTAGGCAGACTGACCCTGTCCACTCCCCACACTCCCCTGTTCTAGGATATGTTCCAAGGGAGAAAACATGGTCTGGCCAACTGAACACCATCGGAAAATCAAACTAGATTGATTTCCTTACCCCGGCCTTATTTCTCATGCCTTCCCCCAACCCTGACCTCTCTCCATGTCCACCATAAGCCAAATCAGTAATTCTCCTGGCCAGCTTCCTGCCTTTCTCCCTCTCTTCCCTGTAGGTAACCCTGACCTGTCATTTCCAATCTTCCCGGAGTTGCAACACTAGCACCATTATTTGTCTGATTTCACAACACCTCTGCCTGTCCAATCGGCTCTGCCTCCGAATATATCCTGTAAGGACAGGCCAGACACCCCAGGTGTGTCTGCTGCAGGAAGGGGAGGCACAGGAGGCAGGGAGGGAACAAATATCTATGACCAAGTTCCACACTCAAGGATGACCTTGGGCAAGTCATCCTTTTCTTGAGGCCTCAGTTTACTCAACTGTAAAATAGGAGAATTGCATAGGAGTCCTTGAGGGGCCTTATAGTTCCGGCATTTGATGAATCAAAATCAATAGCGGATTCATTCAAGGTTTTACTATGGCATCTACCACATGCTGGGAGCTGGGACTCTGGAGACAGCTAATGTGTCATAGGCCAATGAGACAGACAGATATGTAGAACATCACAATACGATGTGGTCAGAGGATGGACAGAGGCATGAACTACTTCTCTTGGTGGAATCAGGAATGATTGTCTGAGAAAAGGACACTTGAGTTGGACTCTGGAGATTGAGTAGAAGTTCATGGGCCTAGCATAAGGAAAAACTTTCAAACTATGCTATTCAGCATTTGGGCTATCTCAGAAGTTAGCGGGCTGGGTATCCCGAAATTAGGGTGTGGATACAGAAGTACACAAGGCTTGGAATGCCAAGGCGATGGAGGCTTAGCCAGGTGCCAATTCTAGCCTTTGATTCTGGGAACTAAAACCCAGGAATTCCTGAGAATTTGGCATCTGTTGGTGAAGGCCAGCCCACCACAAATAGGCCAGTGAGCAGGTAGGACTCGGGACTTCCAAGTAGATGAGTGAGAGGGCTCCCAGCCGTCCCACACCATGCTGACCTTCACACGGAAAGAGCCCTGGGCTTGGAGTCTGTCTTGGGTCACAGGTTTGGCTTACTCCTTCCTAGCTGAGGGACCTTGTTCAGGTCACCACAAACCTCTGAGCCATACACAGCTTCCTCATCTGTAACTTGGGTGCTCAGCAGCCACTCCAGTAGTTGTTATGAGGATCAAGGGATTTACTGTTTTGCAGGCAGGTGGCCTTTGAAAATGTAAACCGTGTTGGACATGGGAAGGATAATTATTGTTGAAATGGCAGTTCAGAACCAGTCCCTTGAGGGGCTGTTTGTTTTGTAATCTAGGAGAGTGTTGCCCTCAATGATGTTATAGTAATAATGGTGGGATTCAGGACACAGACTCATTTGCTCAGACCGACTGCATCTGAGCTGCAATGTGCCTCTCACCCTCTGCCGTTCTATGCCACCCGCACCCCAGCCATCTCAGATCAGTTTTACTTAGTCCTATGTTGGGGGACAGAGGCTGCCTCTAGGTCTTGGAGAAAAGGGGACTCCTGGCCTGGCCCAACCCTGGAATGAGGGCTGACTTAGAAGTCTGCCTGGAAGGGGCCAGTGGAGTCCCCCCCATCCGTACCCCCAAGAAGTGGGCCAATGTGGGAACTTCCTGTCCTGGACTGTTGGTGGGAGGCAAGAGGCTTTCTGAGAACCGTCGTGGGCTGCTCTGGTATCCTAGCTAGGTACCTGCTTTGCCTGCCCAGTGAAACCCAAGGCCACCCAGTGCTCGGCATCCTTAGTTTCTCAGCATTCTCCCTGCACTGAGTCTTCTCTATCTGGCCCAGGGGTATAGTGGGACCCTTGGTGGGGCTTGGAGGGGTGGGGGGTGATGGTGGAGGCAATGAAGAGTAAGGGGTTATCAGTGTGAGCCTGCTGTGGTGCTCTCAGCTCTCTGCTTCCCGTGCCCCTCTGCCCAGCCAGTTCTGATTTTGGTGCAGTGCAGACTTTCAGCTTAACGAGACAAATTGATATTCTGTGCCAGCCCAGGGATGGAGCGGCAGCTCGGGACACTCTGGCAGGCAGCTCAGAAGTGGGCAGGGGGTGGGGGCAGGGGAAGGAGACAGCTTCCATCTGGAGCTGCCTCCTGGGGTAACTCTCAGCGCTCCCCTCCCTCCCACCCTTGTACCCCCTCTACCCTGACAGGTGCCCTGAGACACTGGCCCTGAAGGTCCTTCCACCTTCCGTGCCCTCCTTCCAAGCCGAGCACATCCTCCTGGAGGGGGCAGGGCAGTGGAGTGGGAGGCTTCTAAATCGAAGAGAAGCCCCTCCACCCACTGTGACCTCCTAACCTTGCTCCTAGGGCTGCCCCCACCATCTGGACTTAAAGGAGCAGCAGCTCCGCCAGAGATGAGGCAGGAAGATGTGGGAGGGGTTCCACCCCTCTTTGGGAGTCCCTGAGGCGCTCTGGACATCATCCGTTCCCCAATATGGCCAGCCCCCAACTCATCGCAGCTGTCCCCATGGATTATGTAGATGAACAAGACATATGCAGACATCCTTGCCAGTGGGCACCTGTCAGGAGAGAGAGCACTCTTGGAAGGGGTCTCTGCCAGGCCTGCAGCCCCCGCAGGTGGGAGTGCGTACCATACCAGCCTGTGGCTGGGTTGCAGAGGTAGTGTTTAGGTGTCAGCAGGGAACTCACTGCAGGCTCTGCTCTGCAGGCCCTGCAACCACAGATGTGTAAGTCCACCCCAACCCCCACATGACCTTTGCCCCCAGGTATGGGAGTGTCCTAACCAAAAAGAGGGAGCGGCAGATCCCCTTCCCAACCACTGGAGGCCCCCCAGAAAGAAGGCGAGGACTTAGACTCATTTTTCCCCTCTCTGCTATCCCTACCCCACCCCTTCCGCCACTGGAGGGATCCCTCCCTCCTGCTCAGCCCCAAACCTATCCTCACCATGCCCTTGACATTCCCTCCTACTTCGAGGGAGCAGGCTGATTCCTGGGACTCTGCCAGCTTTAGTTCCTCTTGATCCCACGGGAGGGATTAAAACCGCAAACAACACCGTGGTGGTTCGGTCCAAGCAACGCCCCCCCACACCGCCCCCTACTCTCCTCCCCTGTCTGCCCAGCAGAAGGAGCCCTCGCCGAGGCCCTCCCCTACTCTCTGCCCCCTCCCCCAGCCTCCGGCAACGCAGCGGCAGGGGTGGCCTCTGCCTCCCCCGAGATCGCATTTTGCCGGTGCGATGCTCTCCTAGAAGCCAGCGCCGCGCCTCCCCCCGCCCCCCCACCTGCTCGGGAAGGATGGTACAGTCTGCAGAGGGACCGGGCACGCTGGCTGGGCTCAGCCGCGGCACCAGCTGCCGCACCGTGATTCTGAGGCTGCCCGCCTGTAAACCGTGCCGGATTTGTGCTGATTTCCATAGCCAAGTAAGTACCGGCATCCCCCAGCATGAGAAAATAAAAAATAAAAAGCTCCCCACTTCGCTCTCCCCTTACCCCCTCACCCATTTTATTTTGTTTCATTTCATTTGCTTTTTCTCACCGCTGATGGTGGTGGTGGCGGCAGCGTGGAGGGGGGGTGCGAGCTGAGCTTGTTTATCTGGCAGCGGCCGAGGCTGCATTGGTTGTTGCTGCTGAGAGAAACACTAGTTTGAGGGTCTGACCGTGGGTTGGGGCTGAGGGCTGGAGTGCCCGGGACCCGGGCAGGGGAGCTTCGGACAGGCGGATGCCTGGGGTCTCAAGTAGATTCCAGCAGCCTCTAGACAGCAAATGCCCCAGTGGATGTTATTATGCAAGGGCCGGCAAGCTGGTGGTGGGGAGCAGGTGTGTGTGTTGGAAAGAGGGGGGGAAGGAGATTCCCCCTGAGCTCCTGGACCTGGGTGCCCTGCCTGCCCCAGCCAGGGACCCAGGAAAGAGGCATCAGGAGGCCCCCCACGGAGGGTGGGGTAGGCTGCGTGTGCTGGGACTCACCAGGTCTGGCCAGCCAGCCTGGGCATGTGGCCGCAGGAACCAGGTCCTGAGAGGGCCAGGATGGGGACACGAGTAGGATGGCCAGGCCGTTTTGCAGCAGTCATGCTGGGTGGTAGAGTTGGCACTTTCTGCCAACTGGAAGCCCAGTTCCTCAGCCAGCCTGGATGGCCTCTGGCTGAGCACTTGGACACCTGGGCTTCTCCCTGCCCCCTGCAGGGTCAAAATGGGGAAAACCTGCAGGGACTTCTGAACTCCCAGAGGATGGGCTGCTGTGGGCAGCCTTCCCTCACGAGCCAAGGGGCCTTTCCCCACCACTTTGGTCCCCTGCTCACCCAGGTTGTGAAGGGAGGGTCTCTGCACTGGCCAGCCCGTCAGGGAAGGGCCCCAGGAGTCTCAGGGTCCACACAGAGGCCCAGCCTGGCTCGACCTTCAGAAGGGTAAGTGAGCAGGCGAGCTCGGCCAGCAGATGCACACCCTGGGCCCAGTGCTGAGGGGGCTCCCCTCCGTACCTGCATTGCTCTCTAAATCGTTGAGAGGAGGCAGAGCTGATATTTGGGGCAGTTCCAGGAGTGGCGGGCGCCATCCAGAGAAATTCTCCTTTGACGTGTGCAGTAGGAGGGGGCTTGGAGTACAGACTGCCAGGCCTTCCACCTATTAACTTCCTTGAAGGGGCAGTGACAGGTTTGGGGCTGTGGCTCTGGGTCCAGGAAAGATATCAATGTTATTTAGTCACCTTCATATGTCCAGTCCCATTCTCATCAGGGCCTTTTCATACACACAGATTTGCACAGATGCATATATACGATAGAGTGCCATTGCCATGCACGATATAGTCCAATCATAGACACTCATATTGAGTACCCATGCCCATAGATACAGTCCACCACATGGGAATATAGCTCACATCCTATATACCATCTTGCTCACCTGAAAAATACAGCCTGCACATGAATGCAGCATGCACACATGCACACACACCTGTGAAGAAAGCATGCCCACATATGCAGGTAGGATAAACATAGAAATGCAGTGAGCTGCACATGGGCAGTCAACATACATGTAGTGCCCTACAGTAGCCACAAGTATGGTATGTGTCAACTTAAGGGATGGCCTGGTGTGAAAGGGGTCCTGAATGCCAGCTGCATGCATGTCTGCACATTGGCAAGTACATGGCATGCTGGAATGTGCCCACAAGTGAATGTTGGTTGCACATGTAGAAGACAGCCCTGGCACACACTGATGCAGCAACTCTGTGGGATCCTATATGCGCGGCCCCACTCAGCCTCCAGGCGTCTTATGGAATTAAAGGTGCCTCTGGTCCCTGGGGAGAGGCTAGCCCTTCAGGGGCCTTCCCGTGAGGACAGAAGGCCACTGGCCTCCAAGTGGCAGCCGCAGTCCTACACAAGCCTGAGGGGAGGGCCAGCCCACATTCCCAGAGAGATGGGATTGGATTCAGCAAGGCCTCTTGGGTTATTGATGTTCTGCAGGGAAGGCTGCCCAGTGTTGGAAAGGAGACAGGAGGGGGCGGGCGCAACTGCTTCCCATGGTCCAGACATCAGGACCCACAGGCCCCCTTCTCTGGAACCAGGAAACCAGCACACTGGTGGGGGATCTCTGAGCGATGGGGCCCCAGGTGCCTCCAGCATTCTCCAAAGTCCTCTCCAGACAGGTCAGAAAAGCTGCCTGTGGCTTACACTGTAGAAAGACAATTGCTGGGCCCCTTTATCTGTTCTCCAACTGCCCCCTCTCCCTTTCTCCATCCCCAGCACAATTATGGGTCGGGGGAATTGGGTAAATAATAACTCAGCAAGGACTCACTGAGCAAATTACTCTGCATACATCACTACGGTGGGGCCTCGCTTAGCCTTGTTATTCTCTTGCACAGATGAAGCAGCAGTACAGAGAAATGTAGACACTTACTCAAGGTCACACAGCTAGACCATCAGGCCCCTTGCCTGCCATCTTAGACTGTCACTTCCCCTCCTGTGTGAGTCCAGTTCCAATTTGGGGTGCCAAAATCTCAAGAACCAACAAGTCAAAAAAGTGTTGGTTTTTTTTGTGGTGTGTGTGTGTGTGTGTGTGTGTGTGTGTGTATCCAAGAAAGGGTCTAGAGGGTTTCCTGTAGGTAAAGACAGAGCCTACCCTGAGCACATGTGGACCTGTCTTAGGCAGCCAGATAACGCCGCCACCCCTTTACTACATGGAATTGATGGCACCTAAAAAACCATAGCAGATGAGTACACACAGATGTTAACCTGGCGTGGGTCTGTTTGTTAAAGGGAAACTAAGGCCCAGCCAGGCCCAAGGTCACATTGTGCTCTCTGGAGAGCAGGGAATCTTACCAACCTCTCTTAGGTCCCGGGCAAGAAGCAGCAGCTGCCTGTTTGGGCCCCTCGTTTTCCCCAGATATCTGACTCCACGTTAAAAAGATGAGCACCCCAGGCCTAGCTTCTACTCCTGACTAACTGTGTGACCTTGGGCAAGTAACTTCGTCTCTCTGCATCTCAGTCATTTCATCTGTGATCAGGGCATGCCTGTCCTGCCCTGCCTCAACCCACAGCTGTCTGAGAGCCTTGGACACTGTGGAAGGCTGTACATAGAGGCATGATTGGCGCCAGAACCTGGGACCAGAGCAGGTGAGCATTTGCTTCTGCTATTGGCCAAGGTCAGGAGGGGAATCAAGGGGAAAAAATTTCTAGACTGGTGGATCTCAAGCATAAATGGACATATAGTCACCTGGTGAGGGCTAGGTTTCTGCTCCCTCCCCTGATTCAGGAGGTCTTGGGGGCTACATTGTCACAGGTGCCCCAGGGAGCCAAGGTGCTGAGAGTAGGCTTGAGGGAGCTCATAGGCTTGCAGAGCTGGAGTGACCTGGGCGTCATGCGCTGTCCCCATTCCTACCACATCTACAGAAACTAAGGGTGCCTGGCAAGTTGGTGGCAGAATGAGACTGAAACTCAAGTCCCAAACCCTCCAGTCCTTTACCCACCTGAGGCCCTGGCTTCACCCTGCATCACTAAATCAGGCCCTTCTGGGGGCAGGTCAACCTTCAAATCCAAAATGAGGCTATATTCTCAGCAATGTGGCTGAAAGGGTGCTCCAAAGAGACCCACCGGGCCCTCTGGTTGGTCCTGGTGAAGCCTCTCCCAGCCATTTGACAGCCATTTATGATGCCTCTTCTATAAATCTTAGCCTTCATTTTTCTAGAAGGGGGTTAGATTTAAAACAGGGATGTTTGGAAGATTTTAAATAATGTGTGTGAAGCAGCTGGCACACAGTAGGTGCAGGGTCAAGGTAGAGAGTACTGGGGGACCCTGAGGTGCAGGATGTAGCTCCTCTCGGCTCCCTTACAGGAGCTGTGTGGTATGCAGGTGCTGGGTGCTACTTGTACACACATGTTGTGGCAGGGGGTGGGATGGGGGAGTGGACAGGCTTCCTCCCCTGGCCCCACCTATAATACACAGTTCTGTGTGGGATGCAGGGCTGGGTCTCCTGCCCTCTCCAAGGCCAGGACAGTGAACCTGCAATAATTCATTTCTCCTTTACAGTGGGAGCCTCAAACAAGAAAATAGTTAGGGAGAATGTTCTCCGGGACAGATTCAGTTGGATGTCTATAAGAGCTGGTAGTAGATGGAGAAGATGGCAAGGGCTTGGTGTTCACAGCAGTAGGGTAGCATCTCAGTTCACCCATCAGTAACATGTATGATAATAGTACCCACCTCTGAGGCTATTGTGAGGGGCAAATGGGAGAAGTAATGGGCATAAAGTGCTGAGCTCAGGCCCGTATTTATGGCTCAGTGAATGGAAGTTGTCAAGATTGACTAATCAGAAGCTGTGAGTTCAGTAGCTACCTCTGACATTTAAGGGTGCCTTTGTAGCATCACTTTGCCTTTTCAAGCATTGGTTTTTTTATCTGCAAAATGGAAATATGCCACTCCATTTGGAAAATGGAAGGCTGCCAATTCATAGGGCTGCTCTATGACAACAATAAACAGTAGATGACCCTTTCCACAGCAACTCCTGAGAACCTACTGGATGTGCTGAGGGCTTCACCATGGTCTGTGGCTGGGAGCCCTGCAGTGGATGGAGTGAGTGTTGTTAAGATCTTGGAAGCATCACCTGGCCAGTGTGGCTCAGTGGTTGAGCATCATCCTATGAATCAGGAGGTCACCGTTTGATTCCCAGTCAGGGCACATGCCCAGGTTGAGGGCTCCATCCGCAGTGAGGGTGTGCAGGAGGCAGCCAATCAATGATTTTCTCTCATCATTGATGTTTCTCTCTCCCTTCCTCTCTGAAATCAATAAAAATTAAAAAAAATAATAATAAAGATATTAGAAGCATCATACACAATCCATGAAACCTCTAAAGAGTCAGAGTGGAGGGCAAGGTGGCTGGGCCTGGTAGAGGTGCAGTGGGGGACCAGAGCTGGCGTCCCTGCGGCTAAAGAGACCCCCAGGTGGAGAGAGAGGCCTTTTGGCCTGAGGGCCAAAATAGCTGGTTCTGGGCCCAGCTCAGTCACTAGAGGTGAGGTTAAGTAAGTCGTGTCAGCTCCCTGGTCTCATGATTTCCCTTTGAAAGAGGGGGCAATGATCCTGCCCACCTTGTGTCTTCAGTGAGCCTCCTGCCATCTGGCTCTGGGGTGAAGGGGCTGAGACAATGCAAGTCTGCAATCGCCACTGTGTTTCCTATGGTTGCCATAACAATTACCATAAACTGGGTGGCTTAACACAGCAAAACTTGATTCTCTCACAGTTCTTCAGGCTGGAAGTCTGAAATCAAGGTGTTAGCAGGGCTGGTTCCTTCTGGATGTCCTGAAGGAGTCCACCCCTTTCTCTCCCAGCTTCTGATGGTGGCCAGCACTCCTTGGCATTCCTTGGCTTGTAGCTGCATCACTTCAATCTCTGTGTCCATCTTTACATCACCTTCTTCTCTGTGTGTCTCTTTGTCCTCTCCTTTTTTTTTTGTAAGAACATCAGTCATTAGATATAATCACCCTAAATTCAGAATAATTCTATCTCCAGATCTTTAACTAAATACATTTTAACTAAATACAAAAACCCTTTTTTTAAATAAGGGCACATTTTTAGGTTCCTGGTAGACATGAATTTTTAAAAATATATTTTTAATGATTTCAGAAAGG